AATTTTTGTATTCATTGACTTATTATTTCACTACAAGAAAAGTGAGTTTAAAAGACGGAACTTTTTGCTACGGCACAACTTACCGTCGCAAAAAATGTGACTTTTTGAGACGGCACAACTTGCCGTCCCCAAAAAAGGTGACTTTTTGAGACGGTACAACTTGCCGTCCCGAAAAATGTGACTTTTTGCGACGGCACAACTTGCTGTCGTAAAAAATAGAGTATTTGCGACGGCAGAAAATGCAGTCTCGAAAAAAGAGAGTATTTGCGACGGCAGAAATTGCTGTCGCAAAAAAAAAGAGTTTTTGCGACGGTACCAGCTGCAGTCGCAAAAAACTCTTTTCGCTCTTTCTCTCTCTCTCTCTCTCTCTCTCTCTCTTTGTCTATCTCTTTTTATCCCTTTTTTCATCTTCATCTCTCTCTTCTCTTTCTCTCTTCTCTTTCTCTCTCTCACTCATCACTCTTCTGTTTCTCTCTCTCTCCCTCTCCCTCTCCCTCTCTTTCTCTCTGTGTCTCTCGCACATCTTTCTTCTCTTTATCTCTTTCATCTCTCTTCTCTCTTTGTCTCTCTTCTCTTTATCTCTCTCTGTCTCTCTCTCGTTTATCTCTTTTCGCTCTTTCTCTCTCTCTCTCTCTCTCTCTCTCTCTTTGTCTATCTCTTTTTATCCCTTTTTTCATCTTCATCTCTCTCTTCTCTTTCTCTCTTCTCTTTCTCTCTCTCACTCATCACTCTTCTCTCTTTGTCTATCTGTCTATCTGTCTCTCTCTCTCTCTCTGTGTGTCTCTTACTCATCTATCTCTTCTATCATCTCTTTTCTCTCTCTGTCTCTTTTGCTCATCTCTCTTCTCTCTATCTCTCTCATCTCTGTTCTCTTTCTGTCTCTCTCTCTCTTTCTCTCTCTCGTTCATTTCTCTTTTCTCTGTGTCTCTCTCATTCATTTCTCTTCTCCCTATCTCTCTTTCTGTCTGTCTCGTTCATCTCTCTTCTCTCTTTGTCTCTTTTTTTGTCTCTCACTCTCTATCTCTTTTTCTTTTCGTCTCTCTCCCTCTCTCTTCTCTTTCTCTCTCTCATTCATCACTCTTCTCTGTCTGTCTGTCTTTGTCTCTGTCTCTATCTCTCTCTTTCTCTCTTTGTCTCTCGCTCATCTCTCTTCTCTCTATCTCTCTCATCTCTCTTCTTTTTCTATCTCTCTCGCTCATCTTTCTTCTCTCTTTATCTCTCTCTGTCTCTCTTGCTCATCTTTTTTTCTCTCTCTATCTCTTTCTTTTTCTATGTCTTTTTCTTGATCATCTCTTTTCGCTCTTTTTCTCTCTCTCTTTGTCTATCTCTCGCTGATATTTTGTTTCTCTCTCTGTGTCTGTCTATTTGTCTGTCTGTCTGTCTTTCTCCCTCCATTGTGTTCACCTTGCTCACTCTCTTCCTCTCCTCTTCTTTATTTACTGGGCTCTCCACTACAAGAAAATGTACTTTTAGCGACCATTTTGTCTCTTTATCTCGCTCATCACTCTGTCTCTGTCTCTCTCTCTCTATCTCTCTTCTCTATCTATCTCTCACTCATCTCTCTCTCACCACTCATCTCCTCCACCACCTTCACCACTACTACAAATGTCATTCCACTACCACCATTATTACCACTGTTGCCACTCCACCTCTACGACTCCCATTACTACCATCATCGCTACCGCTCCACTACCACTGCTACCACTACTACTGCTACTACTACTACTACTACTATTACCTCTCCTCTAGCACCGCCACTCCATCTCCTTCCCCAACACCACCATCACCACCACCACCATTACCTCTTATCCACCACCTTCACCACTACTGCTGCTTCATCTCCTCTACTACAAAAAATTAGCTCTTAATTTTTAGTAACAAAAAAAAAATGGGCCACAAAAACAATATTTTTCATTAAAATATTACCCCTACTTCTACCAAATAAAAAAAAAATTCATTAAAATAAAAATGAAACAAATTTCCCCATTTTTTCACTGACTCACCCGACCCGCCGCCCAAACTTAATTTCCTCCCTTTTTTTCCCTCTGTCTTTCCCCTATTTTTTTTCATTTCCTTTTAGGTTTGTAGAGCCCTAAGTTTCGAAACAACACTCTCTCTCTCTCTCTCACGGAGGCATGCGACGATCGGCGATTGACGATTGGCAACAGTGGTGGCTAGCGACGATCGGCGATTGGCGACAATGGCGGCGAGCAGCGATCGAATCATCGATTCGAAGGTATTATTCTCTTCTCTTGTATTCTCTTCTTCTTTGCTCTTCTCTTCCTTTCTCTTATCTTCTTGTTTTTGATTGGCGATCGGCGACAATGTGTCCTCAAGACACTGTTCTGTGTTTTTGTTATTTATTTATTTTTATTTTTTTCAGTAATTAGGGTTTCGGCTTCAATTTTGTTTCGTAAATATGTAATATGCAAATATACTTACTTCAATTTATAACTCCCAGTTGGTTTTTGTGATGTTTGTGTTTTCACATTTGATTATTTCTTGTTTTCGTATCTGATCTGTTTGGTAAGATGTTCCTAATGGTAAGATGAATCCTATCTAGACCCACTCCTCCCAATTTATTTATTAATTTATTTTTATTATTATGACTTTTGATTTTAAGGATTATAAATACTTACACTCAAAGTCATAAAAATTAAAAAAGTAAAATAAAATTCGGCTCCATTTGGATGCATGAATTTTAATAAAGGGTTTGAGATTGGATTTTATAGAAACAATATGAAGTTACTAATAGGTAGATTGAGAAAATAAAAGGAAAAATAAGCTAGATGTAAAATATAATTTATTTTATTAAATTCTTGTATATTTCTAATAACTATTTTTTTGTGTCATTTCAAATTTACCATAGGAAGTTTTCAAATTCACAATCCTTAAATTCTATATCTAGATTATCATTCGAATCTTCTCATATCAATGAGTATGACATTTATTCGGATATTCCTTTTCTATTTATTAAAATTTTCTTTTATATTATTTGTGTGTTTATTTAATTGCATATAATATTTCCCACATGGAAGTCACATTGATTACACCTAACCCTGAACACAAAGCCTAAGATCTGATCTTCCTTTGCAGTATAATAAAAAGAAAAAATAATTGAAGTTTCTATTGACAACTATCAATATTCTTTGATTGCTCCTTCATATCTTGACAAGTTTAAGACATTGTTACAAGTATCTCTAACTTCATTAATCAATCAAAGTATTTATTAATTTTATTTAAGAAACAACATTTTTTTTAGCCCATCACACCATAATTTATTTGTCTTCTTGTAGTTCTTGACAGACAAAATTGTCTCTTACCATTTAGATTTATTTTGAGTATAACTCATATTATACAAAATTTAAATTCTATATGAATTTTTGAATTATATTTAATTTGTTATTATATCCATGGGTGATGTATTTTCCTTGAAATAGATAGGCCAAATTTAGAAATTTGACTTAGCATTATCATAATCTAATGATAAAGGGGTATGTGTTTGATTCAGTCCTAAATTAAAATTATATATTAATAAAAGTAGGAAAATTGTCAATGGATAGGAAAATTGTAATATACACTTTATTAAAAAATACATATGCATTTTTTTAAAAAACTACATTATAATTATTCATAATAATTTTCTAACGTTCATAACAAAATTATAATACCACTTTGGTAACTATTTCAATTAAGGAAATTATTATTTCTAATAATCTCAACCATTTTTGGGGCTTACATAGACATATATGAAGTAATGAGAGAATTAGAAAAGAAAAAAAAAATTGAAGTAGATGAAAATAATGTGGAGCAATTAAGAAAAACATATTTACAAAATAAGTGTAGCTGAAATGAAAATGTTTAGATGGATAGGTGGGGACTGAATCAAGAAAAAATAAGAAGAAGAAAGAAGAAAAATGCAAATAAGTTTTTTAAGTGTACAAGAAAAAATAAAATAAGAAATGAAACTATTAGAAAGAAGAAAGAAGAGAGAAGTTTTTTGGGTGAATAAGAAGAAGAAAGAAGTTGGGAACATAAAATGCAAATAAGTTTTTTACATTGAAATGGCAAATAAGTTGAAAATCTGATAAGTTGTTAGGTGGTGCAAGTCTCTTGTGTATATAGTGCAAGTTGTTTGGTGCAAGTCTTTCATGTGTATCAGACTTGTACCAAAAAGGATTCCACCTGTTGTCCAGTTATTTTAAGACTCCCACTTATTTGCAATTTCCTCTAAAAAAAATTTAGGCCTTGTTTGGTTTGTGTTTCTCAAAAAATTTTGAGAAAAATTCTCTACAAATAAATTTTCAAAAGTAATCAAACCAAACAAATTTTTTCAAATTTTTTTTCCAAAACTTGTTTGGTTTACAAATTTTCCAAACAAATCTCTCTCTCATACACATCAAATCAATCACTTTTTCCAAAACTCTCTCTCAAAATAATTTTTCAAAAAATCTTTTGAAAAAAAACCAAACCAAACAAAATTTCGTACCTTTTATCTCAAAACATGTTTCTCAAATACAAACGTGTTTCTTTTAGAATCTTCATGTTTCTTTTACCTCAAAACATGTTTCTTTTAGAATCTTCATCTGATTGGACGTGAGCATATCTATGCCTGATTCTTAAACATTTCCTTTTTCTTGTACTATACTTCTCACAATTACAATGAGCTTATTTTTGTTTCTAACATTTTTATGATCCACAATAGCAACTAAAGGTTGTAATCAATTTGGCAGACTTCTGAATTTGGTAATCAATTTTACCGGACTTACTTCGTGACGATAGAGCAAGAAATTTTTGCTGTCTTAACAGACATTTCATAAACCTGGGTTCAAGTTGCATGTCTTGGTGTTGCAGCACTTGTTTTTCCTGGTAGTTAATCTTGTTTTCCCTTCTCCTTTCACTATTTACTTAGAAACAAGTTCATTACATTTTTTTACCCCAAATAGAGTTAATTGGAGTTAGGGTGTGTTTCTAGGTGGAGTCTGGTTCGTTGACAAAACCTTTGTGGGATTTAACAACTGTTCCTTATCCATATCCAAACAATGCAATGTTAGAATTATGATTGTTGCTGATATATCTGATGCTTCTCAGGAATCTTGAGGCTTTAACTTTGGGAAAAGGACAAATAGGGGAAACTTTTTTTCAAGCCCTAACAGATTGCCAACTGTTGAAGGGTCTGGTTATCCATGATGCTACCCTTGGTAATGGTATTCAAGAGACACCTATATACCATGATAGACTGAGACAACTTCAAATCGTGAAATGCCGAGTGCTCCGTATTTCTGTCAGGTGGTACAGTTGTAAATAATTGGAAAAAGTTTCATATATAGTAATTTGTTCAGAATTTGTGCTAAAGTTTCTTGTTTTGCAAGTGCCCCCAACTCGAAACCTTGTCTTTAAAGCACTGTAGTATGGCTCATGCTGTGCTCAACTGCCCTCTTTTGCATGATCTTGATATAGCCTCTTCCCATAAGTTTTCAAATGCTGCAATTCATTCGGCACCAACATCTTGCCCACTTTTGGAGTTTTTAGATATGTCCAATTGTTCATGTGTGAATGATGAAACACTACGCGAAATCGCCCTTACTTGTGGTAATCTCCATGTTCTTAATGCTTCGAACTGCCCAAACATCTCTCTTAAGGTCAGTGTTTTAGCTTTTCACCATGCTTGTTCTGGTGATGTTTGAAAATGCTTTCATTAGTTGACTTGATGTTTTGCTTTTCTTGGAAGTCTGTAAGACTGCCCATGTTGATAGTTCTCAAGCTTCACAGTTGCGAGGGCATTACTTCTGCTTCCATGGCAGCAATATCTCATAGTTATATGTTGGAGGTTTGAAGCCTCTTATCTCAGAAGTTGGCATTGCCTAGACTTGATTCAATGTACGAATAGTCTAAAACTAATGAAATCAATTTTATTGCGATGTAGGTCTTGGAGCTTGCAATTGCAGTTTATTGGCGTCGGTGTCCTTGGATCTCCCATGCCTGCAGAATATAAGACTTGTCCATTGTCGCAAGTAAATTATGCTACTCCGATCTCAAAGTCTAGTAGGGGAACTATTTTGGTGGTACTTGTTAGTTAGTGCGACTAACGTTATAATATTGCTTGCAGGTTTGTTGTTTTAAATATACGAAGTATCATGTTGTCATCTGTTACAGTGTCAAATTGCCCTTCACTCCAACGAATTAACATCACATCTTATATGGTGAAAAATGCACACGTAATTCTAACACCATTTTCTCTTAAGATATCACTTATTTGGTGAGCTTTGTAGGTAACCCAATTTATAAGTGGACTGTTTGAGTCAAGAAATGATCTTTCCACATTTAAAAATCACATATAAGACTTCCTTGTGCAGTCAAAGGAGTTCTCAGCACAGGTAAACTCCAGCATAACTTATTTCCATTGCTTAATTTTCTTAGAAATGCAACTATTCTCATTGTTGATTGAGATGTTTAATTATCCATGTGGGATTTGATGACTAACAAAAAAAAATGTTGTATTTGATGTTGTTGGGAGTTAGAGCCGGATTTTGGTCTAGGCAAACTAGTTTTTTAAGAAACTTAGAATTCAAGGTGTTGACGCCCCAAAATCACCAAATGGTGTCGGATTAGCACGAAACTTGGCACACATGACCACCTAGGCAGGAGAGACTTGTGGGAGAAGACAGACTCGAATTGAGTTCTCGGTTTGAGAATTAGAGCCGGATTTCGGTCTAGGCAAACTAGTTCCTTAAGAAACCTTGAATTCGAGCTGTTGACGCCTCAAAATCACCAAATGGTGTCGGATTAGCACGAAACTTGGCACACATGACCGCCCAGGCACGAGAGACTTGTGGAAGAAAACAGGACTCAAATCGGATTCCTAGTTTGGGAGTTAGAGTCGAATTTCACTCTAGGCAAACTAGTTCCTCAAGAAATTTAGAATTTGAGGTGTTGATGTCCCAAAATCACCAAACAACGTAGGATTAGCACGAAACTTGGCACACACGACCGCCTAGGCATGAGAGACTTGGGGAAGAAGATGGGACTCAAATCGGGTTCCCGATTTGGGAGTTATAGTCGGATTTCACTCAAGACAAACTAGTTCCCTAAGAAACTTGAATTCGAGGTGTTGACACCCCAAAATCACCAATCGGCATCGAATTAGCACAAAACTTGGCTCACACGACCGCCTAGGCACGAAAGACTTGTGGGAGAAGACGGGACTCGAATCGGGTTCCCAGTTTGGGAGTCAGAGCCGGATTTCACTCTAGACAAACTAGTTCCATAAAAAATTTGAATTCGAGGTGTTAACGCCCCAAAATCACAAAAGGCGTCGGATTAACACGAAACTTGGCACACACGACCGCCTAGGCACGAGAGACTTGTGGGAGAATACGGGGCTCGAATCGGGTTCCCGGTTTGGGAGCTAGAACTAGATTTCGCTCTAGGCAAACTAGTTCCTTAAGAAACTTGAATTCAAGGTGTTGACACCCCAAAATCACAAAACAGCGTCAGAATAGCACGAAGCTTAGCACACACGACCGCCTAGGCACGAAAGCCTTGTGAGAGAAGACAGGGCTCGAATCGGGTTCCTGGTTTGGAAGTTAGAGCTGGATTTCGCTCTAGGCAAACTAGTTCCTTAAGAAACTTGAATTCAAGGTGTTGGCGCCCCAAAATCACCAAACGGCGTCGGAATAGCACGAAACTTGGCACACACGACCATCTAGGCATGAGAGACTTGTGGGAGAACATAGGACTCGAATTGGGTTCCCGGTTTGGGAGTTAGAGCCGAATTTCGCTCTAAGCAAACTAGTTCCTTAAGAAACTTGAATTTGAGATGTTGACGCTCCAAAATCACCAAACGGCATCAAAATAGCACAAAACTTGGCACACACAACCGCCTAGGCATAAGAGACTTTTTGGAGAAAACGGGACTCGAATCGGGTTCCCGATTTTGGAGTTAGAGCCAGATTTCACTCTAGGCAAACTAGTTTCTTAAAAAACTTGAATTCGAGGTGTTGACGCCCCAAAATTACCAAATGGCGTCAGAAGAGCATGAAACTTGGCACACAAGACCGCCTAGGCACGAGAGACTTGTGGGAGAAGACGGGACTCGAATCGGATTTCCGATTTGGGAGTTAGAGCCGGATTTCACTCTAGGTAAATTAGTTTCTTAAGAAACTTGAATTCGAGGTGTTGACACCCCAAAATCACCAAAAGATGTCGGAATAGCACGAAACTTGGCACACACGACCGCTTAGGCATGAAAGACTTGTGGGAGAAGACAGGACTCGAATCGGGTTCCTGGTTTGGGAGTTGGAGCTGGATTTCTATTTAGCCAAAATTATTTACTTAATTATCTTTGTAATTATATAGTAGTTAAATTTTTATGTTTTTTTATAATTAAAATATTAACATATAATTATATTGTCATTAATTATTTTTATTTTTTGTTTTCAGATATTTCCCGAGTAGGAGTTTGTTTTTTGTGGAGTGCAGGCGTGTGAAGAATGTGATTAACTTTTATTTTTGTTACCCACAGAAGAATCACGAGGAAAACTTTTGTTATTGATTTACGTTATTTTGAATTGTGAACAATATTATATATTTAAACATTATATTTGTATTATGCAACATTATGTAGTGGGATAATTTTGTTGATGTGTTGTTATGAATGCAAGAATATTTTTATTATTGATAAATTGTTACTTTTGTACTGGAATTTTTATATTATTATGTAATTATTGGTTTTTTTTTAGTTATTTTTCATTTAATACAAGTAATTTTCATATTTTTAATAATTTTTTTTTTCGACGGCACCACGCTATCTCAAAAAACATTAGAACTAAAATTATTTTGTTGAAACAAAAAACCTTTTGCGACGGCATTTTTTACCATCTCAAATAATCTTTAGCGACGCCATGTTTTGCTGTCTCAAATAATCTTTAACGACGGCAGGTATCCCATCGCAATAAAAACCCTTTAGCGACGACATTTTTTATAGTTAATCTAAAAATAAAAAAGATAAAACTACTGAGTAAGGCTTTCAAGGGCAAGATCTCTAAAACCTTAAAGCTATATGAAATTTTTTATTTTATTTTTATTTATTTAAAATATTTGTTAAGTGTTTTTATATTTTTCTTATCTTCTTTATCCTCTTTTATTGATTTGCAATTTACCAACTCATGATTCACTATATTAGGATCACACAACACAAATTTTAAACTACACTCACTACAAGAAATTATACTTTTGGCGACCAAATTTGGCTACTAAAATTAATTTAGTCGCCAAAAGTCAGCCCTTTGGCGACTAAAATTTGAATTGGTCGGCAATGTTTCATATTTTAGCTACTAAAATTTTTTAGTAGCCGTATGTTACTTATTGGCGACTAAAACATAATTAGTAGCTAAAAAATGACCCAATCAGCGACTAAAAAATAGTTAGTGGCTAAAAATAGCCCAATAGGCGACTAAAATACAATTAGTAGCTAAAAAGTTACTCAATAGGCGACTAAAAATTACTTAGTCGCTAAAAAATTACCCTATAAGCGACTAAAAAAATTTTGGTCCCTAAATGTATAATCTTTAGCTACTAAAAATAATTTAGTCGGTATTAATATACTTTTAGCGACTAAATTTTAGTTGGCGATTATAATCAAAAAAATTTAAAATTAGACTTCAGATTTTTGGAGGGAAAATTAATTGGCTACTAAAGTCGGTAGTCGGGAAAAACATCTTTATATATTATTGGCGACTACAAAAATTGGTCGGGAAAGAAAATAAACTAAAATACACTTCCACACGCTCAAACTCTCTCATACGTTGTCTGCCTCTCACTCTGTGACTCTCTCTCTCTCTTTCTCACTCTCTCACGCCTCTACCCTCCGCCAGCTCTCTCCCTCGCTTTTGTCCCCATCGTCGTCGGGTACGTGAGCATCACCGCTATCGCACATGAGCACCACCATTGGAGCATTACCCCAGGTATGTCCTCTCTCTATTTTGCCCTCTCTCTATCTTTCGGTCTCTCTTCCCCTAATTTCAGCCTCTAGGGTTTTCTTCTTCCATTTGCATACCTTCACACATACCTGACCCCAAATCGATGGGGTTTCTTCTTCTAGGGTTTTCTGCTCTGTTTTGATCTTAGGATTGTGGGTTTGATGGCTGCATTTGTTCTTGTTTATCATTTAGATTTTTTTTTAAAAAAAAAATTATGCTTCTGTTGTATTCTGATGCTTCTGCTGTATTTTATTGCTTTATTTGCTCATTTGTTTGAAAATCTAATCTAATTGGAGGCAGGTAGTGTGTGGCTTTTGACATTCTAATGAAGGAGCATTGTTTTGAATTTCAGCATAGAACTAAACATAAGTGAAATTAGAGATGATGTGAAACTTATTAATATAGATGCATATTGGAATTTCTTGGTCATCATTCTTAATCACTGTGCTCTGTACTTGATTTGAAATTTAATCTCCCATGACGCTAGTGTTCTTAGTAACCTCTACATACGATCAGAATCCTACTGTTGGCTTCCAAACACTGCTTACACCCTTTCCACTATATAGAGGACCATTTGGTTTAGGTTGGTATTGGATTTTGTCTTCCAGAGTTACCTTGCCATAATCCGCATGCTTCACTACCAGTTGTTTGTCCTCCACCCATAACCCATTCGCCTTTTTCACAGCTACTTCTGCTGCAACTTCACAGTCATATCGGACAAAAGCGAACCTACATATCCTCACTTTCCTTCTCTTCTGAGGAATGTAGACATCCTTTACCACACCAAAGTTCCTGAAAATGTCAACCATCATCTTCACATTCATTGATCTGGGCAGATCATCAACAAATATTGTGAATAGTTTTGCATTGGCTTTCCTACTCCATCCTTTTCTGCCTTTCTGACTCAACACAGGGATCCATCCACCTTCCATCTCAGTTCCCCTGTTGATGGTGCTCCCTCTTAATGTTTTTTTAGGTTTAGTACTGGGATCAATGCTTAGACAAGAGGTGTCGCCAGCCAATGACACAGTCTTGTTTCTTCAACTGGCCTTCTCTTCAACCTTCTTTGCTGGTCTCTTCCAAGCTTCTTTAGGAATACTGAGGTTATAATCAATTACTCTCATTCTCTCTCTCTCTCTCTCTCTCTTTCTCTCTCTCTCTTATAATTTTGATTCATATGATTTTAAATATTGGTCGATATTTTTCAACTTTGGATACTGTTAGAAATTATCACAGAGAGGGCAGTGGGGCTCACAAACCCTCAAATTCAACAAAATTATGATTAGTCTTACGTAATTTTAAGTATTTATAAGGAAATTAACTTTCAGACCCTCCATTATCTATATAACTGTATTTCGATCCTCTCAAACTTTGCAAAAACTTTTTCGTTAGAGTATACCATTTTGAGTATTAATAAAGGAAATGCATTTTGACCCCTCACAACTCTTATAATTTTATCTTGACCCTCTGTGTAC